TGTAAGAGCTTAGAATAACCGCTTGATTTTGCTTCTGTATATTGCTTTCTGCTGAGCAAGAGTAGAGCCATGTTGGAATAAATATAGAAAAGCTATTTCATGAAGGAAGTAAAAGTTTCAGTTTCCCAGACATGAACAAGGCAGCTGCAGGAAAAAAAAGAGATAAGGTAGCAAGGCCGGAGCAGGCAGCTGCAGGAATAAAAGAGATTCTAATCTTAAAGTAAAATGCCAGCTGTTATGCGAAGTTTGCGGTTTTGTCCTTTAAAAAGGTGCTTTAACCTGCTTGGGGCGCACAGAGTCCTGGATGCCTCCAGAGACTCTGTTGCCCATTCGCGAATGTTCAATAAAATCCTCATGCTTATTGCAGCCTCTGCGTTTGACTTGTTTTGCCAATGACGGTGTGACTCCCCTCCACGGGGTTGGACTCTCCCTGAGTCTAACATTTTGGTGCATTGGCCGGGAATGGAGCGACCGTCTTCAGCAAACAACTCTCGCAGAGGGAGGTAAGACCGATCGGAAAGTGTGTTTTTTGTTTTTGTGTTGTTCTGTACTGTCCTTGTCCCCCCCCAGTCTTTGAACGGTACCGGTTTGATCTTGTACGCCGGGGGACGCTCCGGTGCCTTGCAGACGGGGTGAAGATCATGTCACCCTCGTCTGGCCTTGTACGCCGGGGGACGCTCCGGTGCCTTGGAGACGGGGTGAAGATCACTTCACCCTCGTCTGGCTTTGTACGGTCGACCTTCTTGTATTTTGTATCGGGCCCTTAGGAAATCTTGCATCGCGCGAATCCTGTTTGTGTCATTTGTTTTGTAATTATTGTGTGTGGTCTTTTGTCTTTAATTATGGAACAGACTGTGACGATTCCCCTTAGTTTGACTCTTGACCATTGGACTGAAGATAAGGACAGGACTCACGACCTCTCCCTCCCGGTTAAGAAAAAATCTTGACAGACTTTCTGCTCTGCAGAAGGGCCCCGTTTTCAACCTGGGCTGGCCGAAAGGAGGCTCTTATCATCCAAACAGTTTAAAGGATTGTTTTTCCAACAGGTCCAAAAGGCCACCCTGATCAGCAGCCTTATCCTGGTTTGAAATCTGTCTCAGAATCCCCCCCATGGATCCGTCCCTGGTTTTCCCTTTGCCCGGCACAGGTACCAGCTGCGGCTGCCCAGAGGTCAGCAGATTGACCCAAGAAGACTTTGATAGGATCCTCCTCCTGTTTCATTCTCTCTGAGGGACTGGCTGTGGGAGTAGACAGGCCGGGAACCCCAGGCCTCCCTGTGCCCTCCTCGCCTCTGCCCTCCCAGCCAGCCCCATGCAAATCCCCACAGGCAGGCTCCGGGGGCTCCTGCTCCCAGCACGCCTAGAGTCTACAGATAACTTTTGTAACAAGCCAGATGATATTCAATGTGCTGTGTAAAAACTCTTGTTCATAGTATTTATAGTATTAATGACCTCTTGTAAGTTTCCTGGGGGCCACCCAGTAAAAGATTTAGTTTGTTCTGAGAGGGTCTACAACTGGTGATGCCGAAAGTGTCTTGCCTGCAGCCCTTGGGTCCTGGCTGCTGGTTCCTGTGTGTTTAGACCAAGCTTAGTCTGCATTGCTTTGCTATAAACCTGTCCTGCAGTGTGAAGAGTGGCTGGAGTTTAGGGCTGTAGAGACAAAACCATCGGGGCATCCCGACCAGTTACCGTATATCTTAGTATGGGAGGACCTCGTGGTTAATCCCCCGCCGTGGGCTCAACCTTTTCTCATCGCACCCTGTCCTCCTCCTCCTCCTTCTCCAGAATTGCCGGCGCCTTCAGCTCCGCCCCAACCCCAACCCTCTGCTCTTGTTTCCCTCTGTCCGCTGGAAGCTACTCGTCCTCGACCTAAGCCTGTCCTGCCTGATGATAGTCAGATGGACCTATTAATGACCTCTGAACTTCCTCCACCTTATCCCCAGGAGCATCAACCTGAAGGAGAACCCCCAAGAGGAAGACCGGGGGAGATGGGCTCTCCAGACACCACTGTAAATGAACAGCCTGAAGCCAGATCCCCAATCCATACCAGGTTGCGGCTACGCAGGGCTCAATTAAAGGAGGGAGAAAGAGGAGAAGGGCAATGGTCTTCACAATTGTACCCCTTGAGAATTGTAGGGGGGCAGGTCCAGTATTGGCCTTTCTCTGCCTCTGATTTGTATAATTGGAAAACTCATAACCCTCCTTTCTCCCAAGACCCCCAAGCATTAACAGGTCTCATCGAGTCCATCTTGTTGACGCACCAGCCGACTTGGGATGATTGTCAGCAGCTGTTACGGACTCTACTGACCACAGAAGAAGTCCAACGGGTGCTGATGGAGGCCAGAAAGAATGTCCTTCGGGCTGATGGGCAGCCCACCCAACTTCCAAACGAAATTGATGAAGTGTTCCCCTTGTCCGACCTAATTGGGACTTCAACACTCCAAATGGTAGGGAGCGTCTCCGTCTTTATCGCCAGACTCTGTTGGCAGGTCTCAAGGGTGCCGGAAGGCGACCCACTAATTTGGCTAAGGTAAGAGCAGTTCTACAGGGAGCTGGGGAGACTCCCGCGGGATTCTTAGAAAGACTAATGGAAGCATACCGCATGTATACACCGTTTGATCCGGCAAGTGAAGATAGGCAGGGGGAAGTGATTATGGCTTTCATAGGACAGTCGGCACCAGACATTCGAAATAAGTTACAAAGACTAGAAGGATTGCAGAATTATAGCTTGCAGGACTTAGTAAAAGAGGCAGATAAAATTTTCAATAAGAGAGAGACTCCGGGAGAGAGAGAAGAGAGACTAAGAAAGATGCAGGAAGAAAGAGAGGATAAGAGAGATAAGCGACGGAATAAAGAACTGAGCCGTATCTTGGCCACTGTAGTTCATAACAAGCAAATAACATCCCAGGGAACTGAGATAGGGAGACAGTTTAAGGAACAGGGAGGTGAGCGGCGAAACCGTTTAGGGAAAGATCAATGTGCTTACTGTAAAGAAAACGGCCATTGGGCAAAGGATTGTCCCAACAATCCTAGAAACAAGAAAAGGCAGACCTCAGTTTTGACTTTAGAAGACTAGGCCAGTCGGGGCCAGGAGCCTCCCCCTGAGCCCAGGCTAACTCTGTCTGTGGGAGGCAAGCCCACCACGTTTCTAGTAGACACCGGGGCTCAACATTCAGTTTTGACAACTACTGATGGACCTATGAGCCAGAAGACCTCGTGGGTACAGGGAGCCACAGGAGGACGCGCGTACCGGTGGACGACTGATCGGCGGGTCGACTTAGCTACAGACTGAGCCCGGCGAGCCAACCTTTATTTGCTTTTGAATGGAGAGATCCGGAACATGGAGTAAGTGGGCAACTGACTTGGACTCGATTGCCACAAGGCTACAAAAATTCCCCCACCATCTTTGATGAGGCCCTACATCAAGACTTGGTGGCATTCAGATTAAATAACCCCAATCTGACTCTCCTCCAATATGTAGATGATCTCTTGCTGGCAGCACCTACCAGAGAGGCCTGCCTAGAAGGGACAAGGGCCCTGTTACGTGAATTGGGAGCCCTAGGATATCGGGCATCTGCCAAGAAAGCCCAGATATGCAGAGAGGAGGTAACCTACCTAGGATATGTCATAAAGGGAGGAAAAAGATGGTTAACTGAAGCCAGGAAAGCTGCGGTGGCGTCTATACCAGTCCCAAGGAACTCCCGACAGGTACGTGAGTTTCTGGGAACGGCAGGATTCTGCCGGCTGTGGATACCTGGGTTTGCGGAGCTGGCCGCTCCCTTGTACATGTTAACGAAGGAAAAAAAAACTCCTTCATCTGGGGAAAAGAACAACAACGGGCTTTTGATTGCATTAAAGAGGCCCTCCTAACGGCACCGGCCCTGGGACTGCCTGATGTCACAAAACCATTCACACTGTATGTGGATAAGGCCAAAGGAATTGCAAAAGGAGTATTGACTCAGTCCCTAGGCCCTTGGAGACGACCGGTTGCCTACCTTTCAAAGAAACTAGATCCAGTGGCCTCAGGGTGGCCCCCTTGCCTGCGCATGGTAGCAGCTATTGCGACCCTGCTCAGGGACGCAAACAAACTAACCCTGGGACAGAAAGTCACAATAATAGCTCCACATGCTGTGGAGTCGGTTGTCCGCCAACCGCCAGACAGGTGGCTTTCAAACGCCCGCATGACTCACTACCAGGCTTTGCTCTTAGCTCCTGAACGCATTACTTTTGGACCAGTTGCTACGCTCAATCCCGCTTCCCTATTGCCGGAGCCGGGAACGGCCAAGGATGCCCCCCATGACTGCTCCCAGATTCTGGCCGAAGTTCATGGGACTCGTGAAGATCTAACTGACCAGCCTCTACCAGACGCGGAGGTAACCTGGTTCACAGATGGCAGCAGCTATGTCACCGAAGGAACTCGGCGGGCAGGAGCAGCAGTGGTGAGTAACAATGACTCCATAGTCTGGGCCAGTGCCCTAGAGCCAGGGACGTCGGCCCAGCGAGCTGAACTAATAGCCCTCACAAAGGCTCTAGAACTGGCGGCGGGAAAAGTAGCAAACATCTATACTGACAGTAGGTATGCTTTTGCTACGGCCCATGTGCACGGTGAGATTTATCGCAGAAGGGGCCTCTTAACTTCAGGAGGACGAGAAATAAAGAACAAGCAAGAGATAATAAACCTCTTAAGGGCACTATTCCTTCCAAAAAGACTGAGCATTATTCATTGTCCGGGCCACCAAAAAGGAACAGATCCAGTAGCTAGAGGAAATAGACTGGCAGACCAGACTGCAAAAACTGTTGCCACTGAGCCAATCTCAGCCCTACCCCTGGAAATAAACTCAAAAATGGGACCCGAAGAGACCAGGCAAAACACAGATGACATAGTCTGCAACTGGGGAGTTCCATTTAAATATACTGATAATGACAGAGCTCTCATTAAAAAACTCGAAGGGGAGTGGGATGCTAAGTGCAAAGCATGGAGAAAAGGAGACAAGGTCATCCTGCCCTATCGCATAGCTACTGAAATCATTGAACACCTCCACCGCCTCACTCATTTGAGCCGGAGAAAAATGCACGCTCTACTTGCAAATGAGAAATGCCCGTTTATAACTCCTGACCTGCAGTTTCTTACTCAAATTACAGTGGACCAATGCAAGCCTTGTGCCCAGGTAAACGCAGGGCGACTAAAACTCCCCCAAGGAGCCCGTGCCCGAGGACACCGACCGGGAATACAATGGGAAATAGACTTTACTGAAGTAAAACCGGGACTGTATGGTTATAAATATCTCTTAGTTTTTGTAGACACCTTTTCAGGCTGGGTAGAAGCCTACCCCACGAAGAATGAAACGGCCACGACAGTCGTTAAAAAACTCCTTGAAGAAATTTTTCCCCGGTACGGATTGCCGCAAGTATTAGGGTCAGATAACGGTCCCGCTTTCGCCTCCCAGGTAAGTCAGGGGGTGGCCAAGAGTTTGGGGATTCATTGGAAACTACATTGTGCTTATCGACCCCAGAGTTCAGGCCAGGTAGAAAGAATGAATAGAACTCTAAAAGAGACCTTGACTAAATTAGCCCTAGAGACTGGCGGAAAAGACTGGGTACGGCTCCTCCCTATGGCCCTTTTTCGAGTGCGCAACACTCCTGCATATCATGGGCTGACTCCCTTTGAAATATTATATGGGAGCCCACCACCGGCATCCTCTTTCTGTGATTTTGATCCTACCATGTTCCCCCATCCACCCTCGTTACAGGCGCATCTCCAGGCTCTCAGAGCAGTGAGAGAGTACATCTGGAAACCGCTTGCAGAGGCCTACAAGGACAAAGACATTCCACCGTGCCCTCACCCGTTCAAGGAAGGAGACCAGGTGTATGTCCGGAGACACCAGGCAAAAACCTTAGAACCACGGTGGAAAGGACCCTTTACTGTCCTACTGACTACTCCAACCGCCCTGAAAGTCGACGGAATTGCCGCCTGGGTACATGCCTCCCACGTGAAACACGCCAAGGATCAGCCAGCAACAGGGACTACAGGGACTGACCAGGAACCAGAATGGAAACTTCAACGAACCCCAAATCCTCTAAAGATAAGACTGACTCGTGCTTAAAAATGTACTTTTTGACTTTGCTATCTCTTCCATGTTCATTGTCAGATTATAACCCACATACCCCCCATAAAATTACCTGGAAAATCAGTAGTTTGAAATAGGAACAGTCATAAATAGCACTCAAGTCATTGGACCGGTTGATGTTACCTTTCCCAAGTTATATTTTGATCTATGTGACCTAGTTGGAGGAGCATGGGAGACTCCCGGTCTCCCTTATTCAGGAACTAGTAGTCGGAACGCGTATGGCTGTGAGAATGTACTGGGACGGTTACACACCAGAGCCAGACCCTTTTACGTTTGTCCGGGGAGTGACCGTAGCAAAGCCAAAATCAAGCAGTGTAGGGGGGCCGAAGAAGGATACTGTGCTAGTTGGGGTTGTGAAACTACCGGGACAGTGTATTGGCTCACTGAATCAACTGACCTCATCTCAGTCAAGAGGGAAAATATTCCAGGATATTCAGGGACAGGGCCCTGGATTTGCGGCCAGGGTCACTGGAAACAAAACTGCGGACCATGCTTTGATAGTGTAACTAGAAGAACGGGGAGCACCCCAGGTGGCAGATGCAATCCTTTAGTTATTTCTTTCACCTCGGCCGGAGAAAAAGCTGACTGGACTAAGACGAGAGTATGGGGATTGCGGCTCTACAGAGAAGGGTGGGACGCATTTACTCTGTTCACTATCTCCCGCCAAATAGAGCCCTTAGCCACCCAGTCTATTGGCCCAAATCATGTCCTGCCTGCCTTCCGCGGGCCGTCAGGACAACAGCCTCAACATCCTATAAGGCCATTTTTCAACCACACAATAACTCCACAAACTAGCACGCCGGCCTCCCCCACTATAGTGCCGAAAAGCACGGGAGAAAGACTCATAAATCTAGTTAAAGGAGCCTTTCTAGCCCTTAACTCTTCAGATCCCGAAAGAGCCAGGGACTGCTGGCTATGCCTCAACCCCAGTCCACCTTATTATGAAGGAATAGCCACAATAGCAAACTTAACAAACTCCAGTAGCCCATCTCCAGTCTGCAGCACCATGGGGCACGAACTGACACTTACTGATGTCAGTGGGACAGGTCTATGTATAGAAAAAAATTCAATAAAATCTAGACTATGTAACCAGAGTTTAAATGTCCCCATAGGAAATTATTATCTGACACCACCTAATGGAATCTATTGGGCATGCAACACTGGTCTGACCCCTTGTATCTCGGCACAGGTTCTTAACGTCACCAAAGACTTCTGTGTGCTTGTTCAATTGTGGCCAAGAATAACGTACCTTCTGTCTGAGACTGTTCTAGCTGCCTATGAACATCCAGGGAGGGCCAAGCGAGAGCCTGTCTCTATTACTCTAGCCGTGTTACTAGGTACAGGAGGAATAGCCGCTGGCATAACCACCGGAGCAACTGCTCTGTCGAGAACAGACTATTACCAAGGACTACACCAGGCTATGAATGAAGACCTACAGGCCTTAGAACAGTCAGTCAGAGGACTAAAAGAGTCTCTTACCTCTCTGTCTGAAGTAGTGTTGCAAAACAGGAGAGGACTAGATTTGCTATTGTTAAAAGAAGGAGGATTGTGTGCCGCCTTAAAGGAAGAGTGTTGTTTCTATGCTGACCAAACTGGAAGTGTGACTGAGACTTTAGATTGACTCAGAGACAGATTAAATAAAAGACAGAAAGAATTGTCAGCCCAAAAAGCATGGTTTGAAAACATGTTCTCTCAATCACCCTGGCTAACCACTCTCATCTCTGCTATAACAGGACCTTTAATATTGTTATTACTCCTTTTAACTATAGGACCTTGCATTATTAATCGTTTATTACAGTTCATAAAAAAAAGATTGTCAATAATTCAAGCCTTTGTATTAACCAGCCAATATCAGCCTGTACAAGAAAATGCCTGCTAATGCTTATATTTTAAGATAAAAATATGTCCTAAAAGAAAAGGGGGGAATGTAAGAGCTTAGAATAACCGCTTGATTTTGCTTCTGTATATTGCTTTCTGCTGAGCAAGAGTAGAGCCATGTTGGAATAAATATAGAAAAGCTATTTCATGAAGGAAGTAAAAGTTTCAGTTTCCCAGACATGAACAAGGCAGCTGCAGGAATAAAAGAGATAAGGTAGCAAGGCCGGAGCAGGCAGCTGCAGAAAAAAAGAGATAAGGTAGCAAGGCCGGAGCAGGCAGCTGCAGGAATAAAAGAGATTCTAATCTTAAAGTAAAATGCCAGCTGTTATGCGAAGTTTGCGGTTTTGTCCTTTAAAAAGGTGCTTTAACCTGCTTGGGGCGCACAGAGTCCTGGATGCCTCCAGAGACTCTGTTGCCCATTCGCGAATGTTCAATAAAATCCTCATGCTTATTGCAGCCTCTGCGTTTGACTTGTTTTGCCAATGACGGTGTGACTCCCCTCCACGGGGTTGGACTCTCCCTGAGTCTAACAGTTTAGGACTACACTTCTCAAATTTGGGGTGTACCTTATGTTATACAAAGTGTGTATGCATTTCTCCTACTGGTTATTGTTATTGCAAACCAATGCTGCATTATATGAGGGGATGGAAGTAGGTTCATTCTTTTACCTGCATTTTCCCCCCTTAACCTATGAAATTTCTTTATGACAATTTACATGTTAAATACTAAAACATGCAAAAATATTTTATTGTAAAGGAGTCACTGAGGTGCATTGAAAGGCTTCGCCACCTGATCCTTATATACTATAACTCCGATTTAATTGATATGGTTAAACAAATGATCAGATTTGCTTTTGTAAATAACTCCATTGATTTTGGAGTACGTGCTGGTTTGATATTCTATTCCTTTTCAGTTTTAGTTAGTTTTCTTAAGATTTCTTAAGAAATTTCCTTAAGTTTTCTTAAGATTTATTTTTTTAATCTTCAAGTGAGGCTACTTGGTGAACTAAAAAATGACATGTTTTTTTGTCATTAGATGATATTCATGATTGTTCTCTAGATGCATTACCTCAGTCTGTTACTCCAGAGTCATACTCGGCTTCTGTGGTTGAAGCCAGTGCAGATAATATTAGCAGAGGCATGTGAGAAATTTTCTCATGCTTTCACAGAGACAATGAAAACTTTCTAAATTTCTATGGGCTCAATTTCATCAAAATAACAGTGCCCGATAACCATAAAATGAGCAATTTACTAACACACAACTCAAAATTCTTCTAAAAAATATTTATTTATTTTTATCGGAAAGGCAAATGTACAGAGAGAAGGAGAGTCAGGGCAAGATCTTCCATCCTCTGGATCACTCCCCAGGTGGCTATAATGGCTGGAGCTGAGCCAATCTTGAGCCAGGAGCCACAAGCCAGGACCTGCTTCTGGGACTCCTATGTGAGTGCAGAGTCCTAAGGCTTTAGGCCATCCTCCTCTGCTTTCCCAGGCTACATATAGGGAGCTGGATGAGAAGAGGAGTAACTGGGATACAAACCAGCACACATATGGGATCTCAGTGCTTGAAAAATGATTATTCAAACAAGTTTTGTGCCGGCCCGCAACTCAACCTGAATTGGTAACATGTCTCAGTTGTGAAAAAGTTTCCTTGAACATTTAGCAGCATAGTAAAGCCTTCTGCATAAAACAAAACCAGCTGATTTTCTGTAAAGGTAGTAAGGTTGAGATCATTATGCATTACGAGAGTTTTTAACCAAGGAGCAGACAGCTGAAGGCCAAACACTATGCCCTATTTTCGGATACAACATGGATGAGTTGAAATTTTATTTTATTGTTAACTGCTAAGAGTTAAAACAACATGACCAGAAATAATTAAGTACATTGTGTGTTTCTTTTTATGTCAAGAAAATAATGGTAGCAGGGAGCATGGATTATCAAGTCTTGTCACCTTGGAATGCTGGCATTCCATGTAAGCATTGGTTCACATGCCAGATGCTTCAATTCCAATTCATTTCCCTGCTGTTGTGCCTGGGAAGGAAATGGAAAATAATTCCAATCACTTGGACCCCTGTTTCCCACGTGGGAGGCCTGAGCACAATTCCAAGTCTGTGGCTTTGGTTTGCACCAAAGAATGGAAGATCTCTCCCTCACTCTCTTTCTCTCTCTGTAACTCCACCTTTCAAGTAAATAAATGAAGCTTAAAAAGAAAAACCTAGTAGACTCAAATTTAATCATTTCAGAGATTTCATTAAGTGCAAATGATATAAGTGCCCTCAAATGAAAAGCCAGATGTGGTTATAATCCTTTCAAAAAGATGATCATAAACTGTTTGCAAAGAGTTCTTTTTTTTTTTTAAGATTTATTTTTATTATTTTTTGATTGGAAAGGCGGATATACAGAGAGGAGAGACAGAGAGGAAGATCTTCCGTCCGATGATTCACTCCCCAAGTGAGCGCAACGGGCCGATGCTATGCCGATCCGAAGCCAGGAGCCTCTTCCGGGTCTCCCAATCGGGTGCAGGGTCCCAAAGCCCTGGGCCGTCCTCGACTGCCTTTCCGGGCCACAAGCAGGGAGCTGGAAGGGAAGCGTGGCTGCCGGGATTAGAACCGGCGCCCATATGGGATCCCGGGCGTGCAAGGCGAGGACCTTTAACCACTTGCGCCACCGCGCCGGGCCCTTGCAAAGAGTTCTTGAAAGACAAATAAAGTGATCAATTGAAAGGTTAGAAAACATGTCACTACTGATAAAAAAAGTGTAGATTTCAGAATAGGCAATATTTTAAAATGAAAAAATGACCAGTCAGGAGCATATATTTTATAAAGTATATTATATATTCTATTTATAAAGTATATTATAAATATAAATGCTTCAACCACTGGTATATTATTCTTAGGTGCACCAAGAAAATGCCACAAGGACAACATTCTGTGCTGTCTCAATAATCTTAAGAAATTTCAAAACCTGCAAGGTAAGATTACCAAATCACACAAAAATTTAATTTCAGCTCAATGGGTAGAATGTAAAAATTTGTACACCCAACAGAAATCTAAGTAGCTAAAGATTCAAACAAAAATCAAAGTAAAGTGCTGCAAACATTTTAGACTAAATGAAAATATACTATATCAGACCTTATGGAATCCCATCAAAAGTAAGCATGCAGGGGAGAAGTTACAGCATTTACAAATGGTAACAACAATA